GCAGCTGGTACTATAGCTATAGAGAAGAAAATGGCTGAGATTCAAAACAAAGTAGACTGCTCCTACAATGATCTAAATGTCAAGTTTGAGGCTCTAAACTCCAAGGTGAAGTACATGGAGAGCCAAGCTGCTTCTACTTCTGCACCTAAACATCCCGGACAACTACCCGGGAAAGCTATTCAGAATCCAAGAGAGTATGCTAATGCAATTCAACTCCGCAGTGGTCGAGAGCTGCGTGCTCGACCTAACCAAGATCCTGTCACTGAGGACAGTGAGATTCAAGAAGGGGAGGATTCTATTCAGAATGAAACTCCAGTAGAAGACACCACTAAGCTTGACCAGGATACTCCACCTAGGGATCAAGCTAAGAGTCCCCAAATCAAAAAACCAACTGTTGATAAGGGTAAGAAGAAAGCTTTTGTTCCACCGCCCTACAAGCCCAAAATACCATTTCCAGGAAGATTCAAAAGGGACATCATTGAGAAGTACAGAGCCATGTTTGCTAAACACATCAAAGAACTTGAAGTAAGGATGCCTCTCATTGATGCTTTCATGCTAATTCTAGATTCTCACAAGTTCTTGAAAGACATGGTAATGGAGAGAATTCAGGAAGTACAAGGAATGGTAGTGTTGAGCCATGAATGCAGTGCTATCATACAGAAGAAGATCATACCAAAGAAGCTTGGGGATCCCGGCTCGTTTACTCTTCCCTGTTCACTAGGCCCTTTGTTCTTCAACAAATGCCTATGTGATCTAGGTGCATCAGTCAGTTTGATGCCACTCTCAGTAGCAAGAAGACTCGGTTTCAACAGGTACAAGTCCTGCCAAATCCAACTAATCTTAGCCGACAGATCCGTAAGAGTCCCTCATGGTATGTTAGAGGACCTACCTGTCAGAATAGGAAGGGTAGAGATCCCTCCAGACTTCGTTGTTCTAGAAATGGATGAAGAGCCAAAGGACCCTCTCATACTAGGGAGACCTTTCTTAGCTACTGCTGGAGCTCTCATTGATGTCAGAAGAGGTAAGATCGACTTAAACCTCGGTGAAGATTTCAAGATGACATTCGACATCACTAAGACGATGAAGAAACCTACCATTGACGGACAAGTGTTCTACATAGAAGAAATGGATCGTTTAGCTGACGAACTGCTTGAAGAGCTTACTGAAGAAGACTACCTACAGAGTGCTCTTACTAAAGATGGAGAAGAGGGATTCTTACACTTAGAGACTTTGGGTTATAAGAAGCTTTTAGACTCACATAAAGAAGTAGAAGATCCAGAGTACTTTGAAGAGCTGATTGTGTCTCCAACAGAGGTTTTGGCAGTAACTGAGGACGATTCAGCAACTACTCAAGCATGCTACTCGAGTAGCAACTCGAGCAGACCGTCTGAGGAGGCCGAAGACACACACTCGAGTATACCACTCGAGATACCATCAACTTGTGCATCAGACGACTGGTCTGAACTTAAAGCTCCGAAAGTTGATCTTAAACCGCTCCCCCAAGGTCTAAGGTACGCATTCCTTGGAACAAACTCTACTTACCCTGTGATCATAAATGCTGCATTGAATGATGATGAAGTGAATTTGCTGTTGTCTGAACTTAGGAAGTATAGGAGAGCTATTGGTTATTCATTGTCTGATATAAAAGGAATTTCACCTAGCTTGTGCAATCATAGGATCCACCTTGAAAACGAATCATATTCTAGCATTGAACCACAGAGAAGGTTAAATCCAAACTTGAAAGAAGTAGTGAAAAAGGAAATTCTTAAGTTGCTTGATGCTGATGTTATTTATCCAATATCTGATAGTACATGGGTTTCACCAGTGCATTGTGTGCCTAAGAAGGGTGGAATGACTGTCGTTAGAAATGAAAAAGATGAATTAATTCCTACTAGGACTATAACAGGACATAGGATGTGTATTGACTATAGGAAACTAAACGCTGCATCTAGAAAAGATCACTTTCCTTTGCCATTCATTGATCAAATGCTAGAACGCTTAGCTAATCATCCATATTATTGCTTTCTTGACGGATATAGTGGTTTCTTTCAAATACCGATTCACCCTAATGATCAAGAAAAAACCACTTTTACATGTCCCTATGGAACTTTCGCCTATAAAAGAATGCCATTTGGTTTATGCAATGCTCCTGCAACTTTTCAGAGGTGTATGACCTCTATATTCTCGGATTTGATCGAGGAGATGGTGGAGGTCTTCATGGACGATTTTTCGGTCTATGGCTCCTCCTTCTCCTCATGTTTGTTGAATCTTTGCAGGGTGTTGGCCAGGTGTGAAGAGACTAATCTTGTTCTCAATTGGGAGAAGTGCCATTTTATGGTCAGGGAAGGCATTGTGTTGGGTCATAAGATATCTGAGAAGGGCATAGAGGTTGACAAGGGTAAAATTGAAGTGATGATGCAGTTACAGCCACCAAAGACAGTCAAAGACATCAGAAGTTTCCTTGGTCACGCTGGGTTCTACAGGAGGTTTATTAAAGATTTCTCCAAGATAGCCAGACCATTAACAAGACTTCTATGCAAAGAGGCGGAGTTCGAATTTGATGAAGATTGCCTCAAAGCTTTCCATACCATCAAGGAAGCTTTGGTAACTGCTCCTGTTGTTCAAGCTCCTAATTGGGACTATCCGTTCGAGATTATGTGTGACGCTTCAGATTACGCTGTGGGAGCTGTGTTAGGCCAGAGAATCGACAAGAAACTTCACGTTATATACTACGCCAGCAGGACTCTGGATGAAGCCCAAGGGAGGTATGCAACAACGGAAAAGGAGCTTCTAGCTGTTGTATTTGCCTTTGAGAAGTTCAGGAGCTATTTGGTTGGATCCAAGGTCACTGTCTATACTGACCACGCTGCTCTGAGACATATATATGCCAAGAAGGACACTAAGCCGAGACTGTTAAGGTGGATGCTGCTTCTGCAAGAGTTTGATATGGAAATAGTAGACAAGAAAGGGATTGAGAATGGTGCAGCTGACCATCTTTCAAGAATGAGAATGGAAGAAGCTACTCCGATAGACGATTCAATGCCTGAAGAGCAGCTGTTAGCCATCAAGAGTTACGAAATAGTGTACAACAAGAAGGAAATCGAAGTAGCTTGTGCTGTCAAGGAAGAAAAGTTTCCATGGTATGCTGACCTTGTGAATTATCTTATCTGTGGAGAGATCCCCAAATACCTTGATGCTTACCTGAAGAAGAAATTTTTTAGAGATATCAACCACTACTACTGGGATGAACCCTATTTTATAAGAAGGGTTCATGATGGCCTGTTTAGAAGGTGTATTGCTGAAGAGGAAGTTCAAGGAGTGCTGGAACACTGTCATGGTTCTGCATTATGGCGGTACACTTTGCTACCTTTAAAACAGTTCAGAAGGTACTACAAGCTGGACTTTGGTGGCCTTCTATGTTTAAAGATGCAAATGGGTTCATTGCTAAATGTGATCCCTGCCAGAGAATGGGAAATATAACTAGGAGGAATGAAATGCCACAGAACCCGATCTTGGAAGTTGAAGTCTTTGACGTTTGGGGAATTGACTTCATGGGTCCATTCAATCCTGCTTCCTATGGTAATAAGTACATCCTAGTTGTTGTGGACTACGTCTCCAAATGGGTTGAGGCCATTGCATCTCCAACTAATGATCATAAGGTTGTCTTAAAGCTGTTTAAGAGCATCATATTCCCCAGATTTGGTATCCCTAAGGCTGTGATCAGTGATGGAGGTTCTCATTTTATCAACAAGGTCTTTGAGAGTTTGTTAAAGAAGCACGGTGTTAAGCACAAGGTAGCTACTCCTTATCATCCTCAGACCAGCGGGCAAGTAGAAGTATCCAACCGACAGATCAAAGCCATACTTGCAAGGGTTGTTGGTGTTTCAAAGAGAGATTGGTCTACCAAGTTAGACGATACACTTTGGGCCTACAGAACTGCATTCAAGACACCAATAGGAAGGACTCCATTCCAGATGCTTTATGGAAAGTCATGTCACCTTCCGGTTGAAGTTGAGTATAAGGCCATCTGGGCTACCAAGTTGCTGAATCTGGATATAAAAGAAGCTCAAGAGAAGAGATCGGTTGACCTGCACGAACTTGAGGAAATAAGGCTTGAAGCTTATGAGAGTTCAAAAGTGTATAAGGAGAGAACAAAAGCTTTCCATGACAAGAAGATTACACCAAAAGACTTCAAGGCTGGAGACCAAGTCTTACTATTCAACTCCAGACTCAAGCTATTTCCCGGAAAGCTCAAGTCTAGGTGGTCTGGTCCTTTCACTATCAAAGAAGTTCTACCATTTGGTACAATATCACTGTTTGCTAAGGATGGTTCAGAGTTCAGAGTGAATGGCCAAAGAGTCAAGAAGTATCTTGCAGACAGTATCATTCCTGAAGGAACAACAGTTCATCTTCAGGAACCTCTCAGCACTTAAAAGGGAGTAAGAAAAGTCAAGCTAAAGACTTAAAACAAGCTCACTTGGGAGGAATTCCCATGTTTATCTCTGTAAATAATGCTTTATTTCTTGTTATTTTTAATGTGTTTCTTTAGTATTTTTGATTTACAGGAAAAAGGAGAAAGGTTTTGGTTCAGGAAAAGCTTAGGAAAATTTCTGCAGAAACAGTATAGTACTCGAGTACTGTACTCGACCAAGAGTACGAGTATGATCGAGTATGTGTGTGGGAGCTACAAAATTTTGAATTCAAATCGAGTGGGACCACATTCTGACAAAAGTGAAGCTTTTTGGAAGATTCCTCCTGTTCCCTTGACCAAGGACACTCACCACTTGCTTAAAGGAAGCCACCTTTGTCTCCTTATCCTACATACACGATCTACAATCTCCTCCACTCATTCAAATTTTCCCAGCACCAAAATTATCTTTCCAAATCCCACCTTATCTCTCAATTTTCGAAATTTCTCATCTCCTTTCCACCACACATTTTAAAAACATAAATATCTTATCCTTATTCCTCTCCATTCGCTCAACACTCATTTTTAAAGTAGAAAGTCAACTCCTTATCTTCTTCTCTCCACTACCACTCGAGAATATTCACCCTTATCATTTCACTCGTTTCTCTCCTCCATTAAACCCGAGCACCCTTTTCTTATCCCTTTCATTACACTATCATTTGATTTCTCACTCATTCTCACCACAAAAACGCTCTAATCTCTCTCAAATATCTAGCACTCGAGTGATTCATCGGTCTGTTCGAGTGAGGAAGCCCAGTAGTCTACCTTCACGAACCGTACTGGAGTTCAAACGGTTCATACTCGAGTAGCTTTCAGATTCTGTTCGAAGGAAACTATACAACGGTTTGCTTTCAATTTCCTCATGAATTTGATTTATTCAAGATTTGATGATTCGAGTACCGTGTGCTTGGCTTGATTGTGTTGCTCTGTTTTACTCGGATTTTACTCTGTATTGCTCTGTTTAGCTGTTTAGCTCGAGTAGAAGTCATAGCGAACTCGAGTACGTAACGTGTGTTGCTCTGTTTGGTCGAGTAGGATTCGCTTTGTCTTGATACTAATACTAAAACGTGTTACTCGAGTATAATCTCTGTTTGGTCGAGTACGGATTAAAATTACCCAAAAACGACTTGATAATTCTCTGTTTTGGTTTGCTTTTGGTACTAACATACTAATATTTGGTTTTGAGTTGATTCCTCTCAGGTTTTGACTATGAATATCCACAGAATTGCTACAAAAGCCAGGAGAAAGGCTTTGTTTCCAGAACCAAAACTACAACGCATTCCCTCCTCAACCATAGCCCGAAAACTCTCTCAGTCCAGTAATATGCTTGATGCAAGAAGAAGAAAAGAGGGTTATGAAGGTTTTGAGATCATCCCTAGTGAGTCAAGTGAGGAGACAGAGGAGATAGAGGAACGAGATGAGTATGCGCTTGAGATAAGCCATTCAAGCCAAGAAACAGAGGAGATTGAGCCTCTTGAGCAGTTCACTCGACCACCTAGGTCGAGTAGCCGGTTTGTGGTTACAGAAGAGGAAGCAATGCTCGAGGAAGAAGCTGCAACAGAAACCCGAGCACCAGTAAGCGCAGTCAGGGCTAGTAGGCCAAAGAGAGGTAGTTCAAGTCAGTCTTCCAGAGACCGAGCAGAGATTTCTCGCGGGAAGCGGCCTGTAATGGAGCCGATGCAGTTGGTTGATGAAGATATCGAGTATGAGCGTGAGATAGCTCCAGCTGCAAGGGTTACTAGACCAGTGAAGAAGGGGAAGAAAGCGAAGGATACTGAATCAGTCCTTACCCGCCATGATTACCACGCTATGTTCTCGCAGCATGAGTTTCTAGGGACGAGATATCCTCACCGGGAGACAATGGTAGAACTCGGGATTTCTGATGATGTCGAGTATCTCTTCCGCCAATGTCACCTCCATACACACATGTTCAGACCTATGGAGGGTTTCCGAGAAGAGACAATTCAGTTTCTGTCGTCACTTGGTGTGGTCATATATGAGGACCAGTCTGTGATTGAGTCCAAGAAGAGTGTTGGTTATTTGATCTTCAATGTCTACGAGAGGGAGTACACTCTCACCATCGAGCAGTTAGAGGTGTTGTTCGGGTTTCCTAGTGGTCCAGGAACGATTCCATGGTTTGAGAGAGAGGAGTTGCTATCATTCTGGAAGACTATTGGTGATGAGAAGAAAGAGTTTTCATCCTCCAGGAGCAAAGGTAGTGAGATAAGAAGTCCAGTGCTCAGGTACTTTCACAAAGCATTAGCTAGTGCCTTCTTTGCGAGGGAAACCACTGGAACTTTAGTGAATGGCGAGCTGGAGATCATGGATATAGCACTGAGGGATTTGATGTATAGCACATGTGATGGGATAGTCATGAGAGGAGATCAGTCAGGAACATCAATCTCATTCTATCTGTTGGAGCAGCTGCTGAGTTACAGAGGATGGGTTGAGCGGTTGAACAAGCTGGAGACAAAAGGAGTGATGGCTATGGGAGGTTTAGTAACTCCAATCCTGGTAGCATGCGATGTCCCAATGCGCTCCCCAGCTACTCCGCATAGATGGATTGACATCAAGAGTCTAATCGCGTCAAAGACTTTGGCCTCCAAGAGGACGAATGGGTTGTATAGGTACAAGTTTACTCACCCTCAAGCTGGGAAATCCATCTTTCTACTCCCTTGCCCATCTCTCACTTCTGTTGGCAACTTCGCGGAGTTCATTCCACCTTTGGAATCTTTGTATACTTCTGAGAATGAGGCTGTACCTATGGAGGGTGTAGAAGGAGAAGAAGCAGTAGCAGGGTCAGATGAGGCACAACCAATGGATGAATCAGGTGCATATGCGCCAGAGAGGTTCCACTTTCAGGACTACTCCGCGCCTAAGCAGAACAAGAGCCAGCAGGTAGCTCACAAGCATATCAGTCTCCTTCAGAAATGGAACAAGATGCAAGACAAGGTTATATCAACGCTCGCCAAGCAGTTCCATGGTCTACAGAGTAGGTTTAGTTGTTCTACATCCAGCACCGCCATTCCTAGAGACATCTCACCTAGAGAAGCACCACTCCGGAGAAGTACTTCTACACGTCCAACTCCACTCCACAGAAGCGGTTCTAAACGCCCTACACCTGTGACTGACACTCCCTCTGCACCTGCAAGACACTCGGTCTATGAAACACGGGAACACCAAGCGCAGCCTTCTCCACCAAGACAGTCTTCTTATGAGTCGCGGGAAAGAAAGAAGAAGCGCAAAATCAAGCAGCGGTCTGCTGTCACTCGAGGAGAGCACTCGAACATACCACTCGAGCAGCAACCCGAGCAGACATTCGAGCACCATCCTGTGCAGCAGCCAGAGCACATTCCTGAGCAACAACCCGAGCCCACTGTTCCGAGCTCATCCCAGCCAGTACCTTGGAGCTACACAAGTGAGAGCATGGATGACTACGTCTCCGCTTTCTTCACTTAGACCAGGTAACACCTCCACTTCACCATTGTTTATATCATCTTTCATTTTGTTTATCTATTGGTTTGCCCTGAGTACTCTCTTCCAAGCTTTTGTTACACAGAGGACTGTGTAATTTAAGTTTGGGGGAGGGCTCAGGGAGTATTTGACATTGTGTTTTCTGTTCTTATTTCAAATTTTGCATCATATAATCTGCATTGCATCTAAGGCATAGAAAAAACCAAAAAAATTTGAAAAATTTCTGAAAATGATTTCACAAAAAAAGAGTGTTCATGTAGTTTGCATTGTCATGTAGGATTGTTTCGTATGCAATCACTTAGGGCTGTTGCATCATGCATTTGCATTGGAGATTATGATGATTATAACCTTGTAAATATGCTTATTCACTAAGTAGAACTCAGTGCCCAGGTTGTTAGTTCTCTAATGCATAATCGACTGAACTTGAAGTAAGACCGCACCATCTTTTGAATTCAACGCTTGATTTTCTTGTTCTTAGTCGAATCTCGCTTTGATCTGATGCCATTCCCTATCTATTTGAACTTGAATTTTGACTTATAATTATCATGCTGTGCATTGTGCTATGAACTCATGGATACCTTAAAATACTTGGACTTTCTTTTACCTTTTGATCACTCTTGCTAGTCCAAGTAGCTGACTCCCATCTTTGGAGCAGTTATTCCCCACCCTTAGCCTAAACCTTCTTTCAAGCCATTTATCATTTGTGTGTGAATGTGAGGCCTTATTCCGATTGAGCTTGGTAGAAAGTGTTAGGTCTGTAACGACAAGGATAGTATCTCATGTAGTTCTGGTTCACGCTATCTGGACCAGATAGGACTAGGTGGGTGCTTAATTCTGGGTTTGGGTTGTGTTTAAAAGAAAGAAAAGGTTGTGTTCATCATTGAAAGAAAAGAAAAAGGGAAATGAGTCCTTAGGAGAAGTAGCTAAAGTAAGAAAAGTCTAGTAAAGGATTTGGGTGTGCTAAAGTAAAGAAAAGGGGTTCTGTAAATAGCTTAAAGAGAATGGGCAAAAGCCTTGTGTTTATGAGAAGAAAGAAAAGGGAACCCTAGTTGTTAAAGAATCCTAATCCGCTAGACAGAGCAAAGTAAGAAAGCTTCTCCTAGATAGAAAAGCAAAGAAAAGAAAGGAATGATGTGAGTAAAAGTCTGTAAATGCTTTGAGTGCAAAAGGGTAGAGTTAGGTTCATGTTCTGGGATTAGAAATAGGACCTCCATTTGAGTTGATATTGATTACATTCTGGGTAGATGGGGTCTTATCCTTGTATGCATAACTTGATACTCACCTTTAGCATTCTACTAAAGCTCAATCATTCTTGAGAGATCCCCTGTTGCGATTTAAACCAGATCTTTAAGGGACCATCTTTGTCTCTAAGCCTCTACCCTTAAGCCAAATGTGTTCATATCCAATGCATAGTATGATTCACGGTTCCTACTTAATCAATGTTAAAGGGAATGTGCTGATTTGAATGCTTGAATTGATTAAGGCAGAGGTTAGGTTGAGATGTGAAGGAGATGGCTAATGTTTTTAAGTAGAGATCAGTCAACCTTGCATTCTAGAATTAGCAACCTGGACATTGAATTCACTTACTCTGTATGCATGTTTTGGTTCTGAGTCTCCATTTTCAAACCTCTCCTCCAGCTTGATCTTTACTGTTTGCTTGAGGGCAAGCAAAGGATAAGTTTGGGGGAGTTGATATGTCTATATTTCACTAGTTTTTACCATGTATTTACATCTCATTTAGTCTAGTTTCATCCTTGTTTCATGTCTTTAACACTTAGTTTGCATCACTTATCTCCAGTTTGAGCATTTAGGATCGTTCTACATATCTATTGCATACATTCTTGCATTTTGGAGTTGTATCAGGTGTTTTTAGGTACTAAAGAGCTGCGGAGGAAGATGTACTCGAGTTCATGCTCGAACAGCACCTGAGATCCTTGTCAGAGCAGAAGCGTTAAAGCACAAGTCTTCAGCGTTTAACCAGACCACTCAACCAAGGCACTCGGACTGCATACTCGAGTATACTCAAGACAAGCACTCGAGCAGCTGCAAGTACTCGACCACATACTACTCGAGTAGGTACTCGAGTACCTACTCGAGTTCACCTGAGAGCTTCACTCCAGCAAGATGCAACCTTTGAAGAGAAGTCTACTCGACCAATACTACTCGAGTACCAACTCGAGTGGACCTTAAACCGACTTTCTATTTTGTCATTTTGTTGTACTAGGGTTTTCTACTTTGACTATAAATAGACCTCTTAGGGCTTTGCCCAAAGGATCTCGTTTTTAGCCTCTGAGCAATATTTTCTGCAAACTTTTGTAATCCAAATTACTTTTGATCCTTTGAGTTTTTGCAATTACTTTCTTCATCAAAGTTGTAGATCTCGTTCTCATCTATAACATACTTGCTTTTAATGATTTCTGGGTTTGAAACGTTTTCTGGGTTTTTATGCATGATGTTCTTCAGTGTTCTTGAGTAGTGGATTAGGGTTCTTGAGGATGGGATAGATTAGGTGTGGAATCCTTAGTATATTTAGGTGGTTAAGTGTAGAATTGCTTGATTTCCCTTCTGGTTTAGTAGATCTTAATGCTATTTCTTCTCTGATCAATTGGAAAGTAGATCTCAGACATTTCCACACCCACAAGGTGTTTGATGAAATGTCTGAACAAACTTTTCCAGAGATTTGCATACTCTAGCCCAAGAGATTGGATGTTTAGAATGCTTATTGACTAGATTAGATTGAATCATAATGCCTGCTAGGTTATATTTCTTCAATGAGAATTGAGTATGAAAGTGATTTAGCTTGAGAATCTCTGTCACGAGAGTGGATTGATTTGTATTCGAATCTATTGTCTAGGGATAGCTTGATTGAGTTTGTTAACCACCTAGGTAGACTAAGGAGACTGCCATAATCGATTACCCCATTCCTCAGGACCTTTTATCTCATTTGATTGCTTATCTCTTACTTGTTGCTCACCTGTTGCTTACCTGTTGCTTATTGCTGCTTAGTATTGATAGCTATCTCTCTTTATGCATGATCGTTCCTGTTCTGTAGTTTTATCGTTTTATGCATGATCACTTAGGATTGCTAGATAACAAAACACTATTCTGCTTGGCTTGACTTAGTTATCTCTGAGCATATCTTGATTGATAGTAAGAGCACCTGATTGGATTGATAACCTCTTATACTGCAATGACATGAAAGTATATTAGGGTAATTGATAGTAAAATCCTAGTATCAATTTGGCGCCGTTGCCATTTGGGTGTCTGCTTGTTACATTCAAGATTTTAGAATTGCTAAGATCAAGTTCTTTCTTTACTTTGGTTACTAACTACTCTCTTCAACTGCTTGTTTTTGTGTTCCAGGCACTAGCTCGAGTACATACTCAACACGTGCATGCAAACTCGTTCTAAAGGTTCTGACAATCTCATCAGCTACAGAGACAACATCAATCGTTTAGCTCGTGAGTTGAGAGAGCGTAGAGACAGAGACGGTTGTGAACAGCACAATCCAGTTGCTATGGAACAACAAGATCAAGACAATCAGGGAGTTGGGATACCAAGGAACATTGGTGATGGTGATGCACCACGCAACCATCAACAGAGACAGGGCATCGTTCCACCTCCTGTCCAGAACAACAATTTCGAGATCAAGAGTGGATTGATCTCAATGATTCAAGGTAACAAGTTTCATGGGTTGCCTCTGGAAGATCCCTTGGATCACTTGGATAATTTTGATAGGCTCTGCAGCCTCACCAAGATAAATGGTGTTAGTGAGGACAGTTTCAAGCTGCGTCTGTTTCCCTTCTCACTGGGCGACAAAGCACACCACTGGGAGAAAACACTACCTGCTGGCTCCATCACATCTTGGGACGATTGCAAGAAGGCCTTCTTAACAAAGTTCTTCTCAAATTCAAGAACTGCACGTCTAAGGAATGAAATCTCCAGTTTCACCCAAAAGCAGTCTGAATCCATTTGTGAGGCCTGGGAGAGATTCAAAGGCTACACTATACAGTGTCCACACCATGGTTTCAAGAAGGCTTCACTACTCAGCACACTCTACAGGGGAGTTTTGCCCAAGATCAGAATGTTGCTAGACACAGCCTCTAATGGGAATTTCTTGAATAAGGATGTTGAGGAAGGCTGGGAATTGATAGAGAACTTAGCTCTATCCGATGGTAACTATAACGAGGATTTTGATCGCTCCAACAGAGGTATTGGAGATCCGGATGCGAAGCATAATAAGGAGATGATTCAGGCTCTCAACGATAAGATGGATAAATTTCTGCTTAGTCAACAGAAGCAAGTCCACTATATCACTGAAGAAGAGCACTATCAAATCCAAGAAGCACTACAGGAAAATGAAGCATCTGTAGCGCCCGAATAACGCTATATAACTTTACTGTAGCGTTTTAACAAGCGCTCTATCATCGCCCGTCATAATAGGTCGGAGACAAATTATAGCGGTTTTTTGTTATGCTACCAAAAAATTCGTTATTACAGCGCTTTCCTTTATGCAATAATTAATAATATAATAGCGCTTAATATTCGATATTAAATACTATTATTGACAGCATATTTATTTTGCTACATATAAAATGACAATAGCAGTTACTAAACTGCAATTGTTTCAATTAATGGCATTTTGTTTTGGTGCAATATGTGACCATCCATTTCCAGTTCCAATTCTGTTTTGATCAAATTAATATTATATAAAACAAATTTAAAAAGACAAAATGAAATTTATATTAGATAAACATGTCAATGTAAGTACTCAAGTCACATGATCATGCCTTAGCAAGTACTGAATTCACCAAAATAACAAGATTATGTTTAGACATACATGATTTTATCATTAGGCCAAGCCACAATACTACCTACTGCATCGGCAATGGTTTGAATTTCAGAGTTTGGTCTCAACACAGCTGCATCTCCAACCTTCGACACTTCCACCCAAACCTTGGGTGACTTCATGTATAGCATTCGCAAGGTATCCCACGTTTCCTGTCGTAACACCAGCCATACTGCAACCAAACATCAAGAGCCTCAATGATTAAGATGGATTGCATTGAATGTGAACTCAAAGATTTCTAATCAGGAGAAAGTGAAGTACCTGATACGGCCATTGCGGGTCATATAGATGTGATATTCGCTTGTTAAGTGGTCAACCTGTTCTGGTGTTAGCCCACTGTAGCAGAACATTCCAATCTGTTTCACCCATGAAAATAGGATTGTGCGAGTCAGAGGAGAGAAATGACAACAAGTTCATTTAAAAAACACTTGTTTTTGTAAATACCTGCTTGGTAACGTGCTCCCATGATAAAGGCGATCCTAACTTCTCAAGGCTTTCTTGCAAAGTAGTTCTCATGCCGATGATCCGATCAGCCATGACCTGTTGTGTTACAGATTTTACATATGGCTTATAGAATGTTGTGTTACAGATTTTACATATGGCTTATCAGATTTTAATTCTATAGTTGATTATTCAATACAAAAGAGTGAACATAGAATATAAGGTAATGAATGAAAGAATTAGCATTTTTTCATAATGTTACCTTAACTTCCTTTAGCCACAGACTCTTTAACTCTGGGTCTTCAAGAATGGTTGAGACCAGTTGAGCACCGTGTAAAGGTGGGTTGCTGTACATTGGTCTAGCTAGCTGTTGCAATTGACTTTTCACAGCCACGGCTTGCATTGCATCTTCACAAAGCACGCTGCAGTAGAAGACAAAGTTGTCATGTTCATATTCAGTTCTAACTTCATCACTAAATGAACATGTATGGCTTTTTCTGACTATTAAAAACCTATACTCAACAACAACAACACAGACTTTATTCCTCATTTTTAACTCAAACTTGTAAAAATAAATTGATAATGAATGGGTGAACAAATTCTCACCATCACAAACGGATTCCAGGTTGATTTCAGAATTCCCCATCCGTTTATGTGGGGTAACAAGGTTTGCATCCCAAGCTGCAATCTGAAGCTCATTAAACAATTTTTGGGAAGTCAGGCAAGGCTTTATATATTAGAAGGTATTTGTCCAGCCACAATAGTTGAAACATTTCTACCTCTATCTTTTTTGCAGGAGGCAGCTTGATATTAAAAACAAAAGTCTTCGTTCCATTTCGGCTCTTGTCCTGCCAATAAAATAATATCAAAAATAAGACTACATCAGAACACTTCCACTATGATCAGGCCACCGATTATTATGTATACATCTAATTAAGTGAGTAAGCTCATAAATTTTGCTAAGAAATGCGATACTATAAAAAAAAATCAGTAAAAACATAAGAGACTTGCCCCCATTTGGTTTTGCTTTTAGCAACCTGAGTACCAGACCATCCAAATCCATCACAACATAAGGATCACTCGTTCCCTAAAACGCAAAACCAATAAGAACAATAACTTAGTCAAGATAAAAATAAACAAATACACATAGTAAGGTCATTGCTTCAAGAATCTTAAAACACACACCCATGGATCGAAAGCTTCTGCAAATCTGAGTTAAATCCAGATTTTTTGAAAATGGAGGAACCAAGACAAATTTAACAAAATCAACACAATAGAATCAATCACCGATTTGGTAAAATGTAAAACTGGAGTCTCAAAAATCAAACATCCCCTTACCAGGACCAGAAGAGAGAAGAAGCATTTTCCGATGTGATAAGCTCGGTGACAACGTCGTCGTTTTAGTCAAATCCAGATTTTCTCTAAGCTTTTCACCTGTTTCAAACCAAGATATTTTCCACCATTACTACTCAGAAGATAACATTTGATTTAGGAATCTACTCTTAAACAAAGCATAACAGAGTTTCTTAAGAAACAAGTGAATCTACGTTTGATTTTAGGAATTTCGTATCACCGGAGGCTTCAACGGAGACGAGAGCCATGCCGTAGAACAAGTACGAGAGAAGCGTCGCCGATACCAAAAGTCGCCGTCGGTTCATGTGCTTAGACGTCGGAAATCTAAAGTAGATGATGTAGCTGATTCTCGTCTTCTTCTCTGTTGCGTTGATTTGACTAATACCGGAAAATCTGTAAAAACCAGAGAAAAGAGAAGGAAAAAAAAAAACTTTATGAGTATCTAATCTTAAAACAAAACCCTAAAACGATTACAACCACAAATTGAAGCTCAAATATGATAATTTCACAAACAAAACCCCAAATCGATTTTAAAAACCCTAACCTTTACAATGTACGACCAGATCTGTGACTGAGAGATGGAGAGTCGAGTGAGAAGAGAGATGTAGACTCGATTAACTGAGAAAAGAAGGTGGAGAGTCGAGTAACAGAGAGATGGAGGTGGAGACTCGAGTAACACAGAGATGGAGATGGAGAGTCGAGTAACAAAGAGATGGAGAGTCGAGAACAGAGAGAGATGAATAATGTGTTTAGAGATGAAGAATCGAGAACATATATCGATTTATAGAGAGAGAGAGATGAAGAATCGAGATTGGAAAAGAATGGAGAAAAGTGAAGAGTCTCTGTGCCTTAGGCAAATTTTACGTCTTTTCCCACAAATTTTTTTTTAAGAGGCGGGCATTTTTTAATTATTACCCGCTAATAGATTACATAGCGTTTAATCTAAAATAGTGCTATCAAATATTAAACCTAAATCCAAAACATTGACCCGCGTCCTTTTATTTCTCCGAGTAATAAAGTATAGCGTTTAAAATTTACCAAACGCTATAACATATTACAGTGTTTGTCAATCATAGCAAAACAGCGTTAACTGCTATATTCTTATGCTATAAATGCGTCATATTCTTGTAGTGAAGGGGAGAATATTCAGGCTGCAGAGGTTAGCTATATTCAGAACCAAGGTGGCTACAACAAGGGCTACAACCCCTACAAGCCTGCTCATCCTAATCTATCTTACCGGAGCACGAATGTTGCAAACCCTCAGGATCAGGTTTACCCTCAGCAACAACAGAACCAGTCCAAGCCATTTGTACCATACAATCAAGGCTTTGTCCCAAAGCAGCAGTTTAGTGGAGGTTATCAACAACATAATCCACCACCCGGTTTTGCACAGCAACCCCAACAAGCTCCACCTGCACAAGATCAAGACATGAAGCAAATGCTTCAGCAGCTTCTACAAGGTCAAGCAGCTGGTACTATAGCTATAGAGAAGAAAATGGCTGAGATTCAAAACAAAGTAGACTGCTCCTACAATGATCTAAATGTCAAGTTTGAGGCTCTAAACTCCAAGGTGAAGTACATGGAGAGCCAAGCTGCTTCTACTTCTGCACCTAAACATCCCGGACAACTACCCGGGAAAGCTATTCAGAATCCAAGAGAGTATGCTAATGCAATTCAACTCCGCAGTGGTCGAGAGCTGCGTGCTCGACCTAACCAAGATCCTGTCACTGAGGACAGTGAGATTCAAGAAGGGGAGGATTCTATTCAGAATGAAACTCCAGTAGAAGACACCACTAAGCTTGACCAGGATACTCCACCTAGGGATCAAGCTAAGAGTCCCCAAATCAAAAAACCAACTGTTGATAAGGGTAAGAAGAAAGCTTTTGTTCCACCGCCCTACAAGCCCAAAATACCATTTCCAGGAAGATTCAAGAGGGACATCATTGAGAAGTACAGAGCCATGTTTGCTAAACACATCAAAGAACTTGAAGTAAGGATGCCTCTCATTGATGCTTTCATGCTAATTCCAGATTCTCACAAGTTCTTGAAAGACATGGTAATGGAGAGAATTCAGGAAGTACAAGGAATGGTAGTGTTGAGCCATGAATGCAGTGCTATCATACAGAAGAAGATCATACCAAAGAAGCTTGGGGATCCCGGCTCGTTTACTCTTCCCTGTTCACTAGGCCCTTTGTTCTTCAACAAATGCCTATGTGATCTAGGTGCATCAGTCAGTTTGATGCCACTCTCAGTAGCAAGAAGACTCGGTTTCAACAGGTACAAGTCCTGCCAAATCCAACTAATCTTAGCCGACAGATCCGTAAGAGTCCCTCATGGTATGTTAGAGGACCTACCTGTCAGAATAGGAAGGGTAGAGATCCCTACAGACTTCGTTGTTCTAGAAATGGATGAAGAGCCAAAGGACCCTCTCATACTAGGGAGACCTTTCTTAGCTACTGCTGGAGCTCTCATTGATGTCAGAAGAGGTAAGATCGACCTTAAACCTCGGTGAAGATTTCAAGATGACATTCGACATCACTAAGACGATGAAGAAACCTACCATTGACGGACAAGTGTTCTACATAGAAGAAATGGATCGTTTAGCTGACGAACTGCTTGAAGAGCTTACTGAAGAAGACTACCTACAGAGTGCTCTTACTAAAGATGGAGAAGAGGGATTCTTACACTTAGAGACTTTGGGTTATAAGAAGCTTTTAGACTCACATAAAGAAGTAGAAGATCCAGAGTACTTTGAAGAGCTGATTGTGTCTCCAACAGAGGTTTTGGCAGTAACTGAGGACGATTCAGCAACTACTCAAGCATGCTACTCGAGTAGCAACTCGAGCAGACCGTCTGAGGAGGCCGAAGACACACACTCGAGTATACCACTCGAGATACCATCAACTTGTGCATCAGACGACTGGTCTGAACTTAAAGCTCCGAAAGTTGATCTTAAACCGCTCCCTCAAGGTCTAAGGTACGCATTCCTTGGAACAAACTCTACTTACCCTGTGATCATAAATGCTGCATTGAATGATGATGAAGTGAATTTGCTGTTGTCTGAGCTTAGGAAGTATAGAAAAGCTATCGGTTATTCGTTGTCTGATATAAAAGGAATTTCACCTAGCTTATGCAATCATAGGATCCACCTCGAAAACGAATCCTATTCTAGTATTGAACCACAGAGAAGGTTAAACCCTAACTTGAAAGAAGTAGTGAAAAAGGAAATTCTTAAGTTGCTTGATGCTGATGTTATTTATCCAATCTCTGATAGTACATGGGTTTCACCTGTTCACTGTGTGCCTAAGAAGGGAGGAATGACTGTAGTAAGAATGAAAAGGATGAATTGATTCCTACTAGGACTATAACAGGACATAGGATGTGTATCGACTATAGGAAATTAAACGCTGCATCTAGAAAAGATCACTTTCCTTTGCCATTCATTGATCAAATGCTAGAACGCTTAGCTAATCATCCATATTATTGCTTTCTTGACGGATATAGTGGTTTCTTTCAAATACCGATTCACCCTAATGATCAAGAAAAAACCACTTTTACATGTCCCTATGGAACTTTCGCCTATAAGAGAATGCCATTTGGTTTATGCAATGCTCCTGCAACTTTTCAGAGGTGTATGACCTCTATTTTCTCGGATTTGATCGAGGAGATGGTGGAGGTATTCATGGACGATTTTTCGGTCTATGGCTCCTCCTTCTCCTCATGTTTGTTGAATCTTTGCAGGGTGTTGACCAGGTGTGAAGAGACTAATCTTGTTCTCAATTGGGAGAAGTGCCATTTTATGGTCAGGGAAGGCATTGTGTTGGGTCATAAGATATCTGAGAAGGGCATAGAGGTTGACAAGGGTAAAATTGAAGTGATGATGCAGTTACAGCCACCAAAGACAGTCAAAGACATCAGAAGTTTCCTTGGCCACGCTGGGTTCTACAGGAGGTTTATTAAAGATTTCTCCAAGATAGCCAGACCATTAACAAGACTTCTATGCAAAGAGGCGGAGTTCGAATTTGATGAAGATTGCCTCAAAGCTTTCCATACCATCAAGGAAGCTTTGGTAACTGCTCCTGTTGTTCAAGCTCCTAATTGGGACTATCCGTTCGAGATTATGTGTGACGCTTCAGATTACGCTGTGGGAGCTGTATTAGGCCAGAGAATCGACAAGAAACTTCACGTTATATACTACGCCAGCAGGACTCTAGATGAAGCCCAAGGAAGGTATGCAACAACGGAGAAGGAGCTTCTAGCTGTTGTATTTGCCTTTGAGAAGTTCAGGAGCTATTTGGTTGGATCCAAGGTCACTGTCTATACTGACCACGCTGCTCTGAGACATATATATGCCAAGAAGGACACTAAGCCGAGACTGTTAAGGTGGATACTGCTTCTGCAAGAGTTTGATATGGAAATAGTAGACAAGAAAGGGATTGAGAATGGTGCAGCTGACCATCTTTCAAGAATGAGAATGGAAGAAGCTACTCCGATAGACGATTCAATGCCTGAAGAGCAGCTGTTAGCCATCAAGAGTTACGAAATAGTGTACAACAAGAAGGAAATCGAAGTAGCTTGTGCTGTCAAGGAAGAAAAGTTTCCATGGTATGCTGACCTTGTGAATTATCTTATCTGTGGAGAGATCCCCAAATACCTTGATGCTTACCAGAAGAAGAAGTTCTTTAGAGACATCAACCACTACTACTGGGATGAACCCTATTTGTATAAGAAGGGTACTGATGGCCTATTTAGAAGGTGTATTGCTGAAGAGGAAGTTCAAGGAGTGCTGGAACACTGTCATGGTTCTGCTTATGGCGGTCACTTTGCTACCTTCAAGACAGTACAGAAGGTTCTTCAAGCCGGCCTTTGGTGGCCTTCCATGTTTAAAGATGCATATGGATTCATTGCTAAATGTGATCCCTGCCAGAGAATGGGAAACATCACCAGGAGGAATGAAATGCCGCAGAACCCTATCCTAGAGGTAGAAGTCTTTGATGTGTGGGGAATTGATTTCATGGGACCATTCAATCCTGCTTCCTATGGTAATAAGTACATCCTAGTTGCTGTGGACTACGTCTCCAAATGGGTTGAGGCCATTGCATCTCCAACTAATGATCATAAGGTTGTCTTAAAGCTGTTTAAGAGCATCATATTCCCCAGATTTGGTATCCCTAAGGCTGTGATCAGTGATGGAGGTTCTCATTTTATCAACAAGGTCTTTGAGAGTTTGTTAAAGAAGCACGGTGTAAAACACAAGGTAGCTACTCCCTATCATCCTCAGACTAGCGGGCAAGTAGAAGTATCCAACCGTACAGATCAAGGCCATACTTGCAAGAGTTGTTGGTGTTTCAAAGAGAGATTGGTCTACCAAGTTAGACGATACACTTTGGGCCTACAGAACTGCATTCAAGACACCAATAGGAAGGACTCCATTCCAGATGCTTTATGGAAAGTCATGTCACCTTCCGGTTGAAGTTGAGTATAAGGCCATCTGGGCTACCAAGTTGCTGAATCTGGATATAAAAGAAGCTCAAGAGAAGAGATCGGTTGACCTGCACGAACTTGAGGAAATAAGGCTTGAAGCTTATGAGAGTTCAAAAGTGTATAAGGAGAGAACAAAAGCTTTCCATGACAAGAAGATTACACCAAAAGACTTCAAGGTTGGAGACCAAGTCTTACTGTTCAACTCCAGACTCAAGCTATTTCCCGGAAAGCTCAAATCTAGGTGGTCTGGTCCTTTCACTATCAAAGAAGTTCTACCATTTGGTACAATATCACTGTTTGCTAAGGATGGTTCAGAGTTCAGAGTGAATGGCCAAAGAGTCAAGAAGTATCTTGCAGACAGTATCATTCCTGAAGGAGCAACAGTTCATCTTCAGGAACCTCTCAGCACTTAAAGGGAGTAAGAAAAGTCAAGCTAAAGACTTAAAACAAGCTCACTTGGGAGGAAATCCCATGTTTATCTCTGTAAATACTACTTTATTTCTTGTTATTTTTAATGTTGTTTCTTTAGTGTTTTTGATTTACAGGAGAAAAGAGAAAGGTTTTGGTTCAGGAAAAGCTCAGAAATTTTTTTACAGAAGCGCTACAGTACTCGAGTACTGTGCTAGAGTGCACCCAAGAGTTCCAACATGGTGGTCCCACATCCTGAAAAAGACAACTTTTTGTCTCCTTATCTTTCCCACTCGAAATCTCCTTCCTTTACTCCTCTACCACTCGTTTTAAGAACAACAAACATCCAAAATATCACCTTATCTTATCCAAAACCGAAATCTCTCATTTCCCCTTACCACCACCGATTTTAAAATCAAAACTCACTCCATCTCTCTCATAACTCGAGCCAAACAATTTCAAAACACCAAATTCCTTATCCTCTTGCATTATCTCTCACTCTCACCTCACAACACTCATTTTTAAAGTAGAAAGTCAACTCCTTATCTTCTTCTCTCCACTACCACTCGAGAATATTCACCCTTATCATTTCACTCGTTTCTCTCCTCCATTAAACCCGAGCACCCTTTTCTTATCCCTTTCATTACACTATCATTTGATTTCTCACTCATTCTCACCACAAAAACGCTCTAATCTCTCTCAAATATCTAGCACTCGAGTGATTCATCGGTCTGTTCGAGTGAGGAAGCCCTAGTCTACCTTCACGAACCGTACTGGAGTTCAAACGGTTCATACTCGAGTAGCTTTCAGATTCTGTTCGAAGGAAACTATACAACGGTTTGCTTTCAATTTCCTCATGAATTTGATTTATTCAAGATTTGATGATTCGAGTACCGTGTGCTTGGCTTGATTGTGTTGCTCTGTTTTACTCGGATTTTACTCTGTATTGCTCTGTTTAGCTGTTTAGCTCGAGTAGAAGTCATAGCGAACTCGAGTACGTAACGTGTGTTGCTCTGTTTCACTCTGTTTTGAACTCAAGTATAATCCGTTTCTTGTATTTGTTCTTGAACTCGAATATAATACCTGCTTTAGGTCGAGTACGGGTTACAATTGATAAAGAAAGGATTGTTACTTCTCTGTTTTGGTTTGTTTTTGAGACTAACATACTAATCTTTGGTTTTGAGTCGATTCCCCTCAGGTTTTGACTATGAATATCCACAGAATTGCTACGAAAGCCAGGAGAAAGGCTTTGTTTCCAGAACCAAAACTACAACGCATTCCCTCCTCAACCATAGCCCGAAAACTCTCTCAGTCCAGTAATATGCTTGATGCAAGAAGAAGAAAAGAGGGTTATGAAGGTTTTGAGATCATCCCTAGTGAGTCAAGTGAGGAGACAGAGGAGATAGAGGAACGAGATGAGTATGCGCTTGAGATAAGCCATTCAAGCCAAGAAACAGAGGAGATTGAGCCTCTTGAGCAGTTCACTCGACCACCTAGGTCGAGTAGCCGGTTTGTGGTTACAGAAGAGGAAGCAATGCTCGAGGAAGAAGCTGCAACAGAAACCCGAGCACCAGTAAGCGCAGTCAGGGCTAGTAGGCCAAAGAGAGGTAGTTCAAGTCAGTCTTCCAGAGACCGAGCAGAGATTTCTCGCGGGAAGCGGCCTGTAATGGAGCCGATGCAGTTGGTTGATGAAGATATCGAGTATGAGAGTGAGATAGCTCCAGCTGCAAGGGTTACTAGACCAGTGAAGAAGGGGAAGAAAGCGAAGGATACTGAATCAGTCCTTACCCGCCATGATTACCACGCTATGTTCTCGCAGCATGAGTTTCTGGGGACGAGATATCCTCACCGGGAGACAATGGTAGAACTCGGGATTTCTGATGATGTCGAGTATCTCTTCCGCCAATGTCACCTCCATACACACATGTTCAGACCTATGGAGGGTTTCCGAGAAGAGACAATTCAGTTTCTGTCGTCACTTGGTGTGGTCATATATGAGGACCAGTCTGTGATTGAGTCCAAGAAGAGTGTTGGTTATTTGATCTTCAATGTCTACGAGAGGGAGTACACTCTCACCATCGAGCAGTTAGAGGTGTTGTTCGGGTTTCCTAGTGGTCCAGGAACGATTCCATGGTTTGAGAGAGAGGAGTTGCTATCATTCTGGAAGACTATTGGTGATGAGAAGAAAGAGTTTTCATCCTCCAGGAGCAAAGGTAGTGAGATAAGAAGTCCAGTGCTCAGGTACTTTCACAAAGCATTAGCTAGTGCCTTCTTTGCGAGGGAAACCACTGGAACTTTAGTGAATGGCGAGCTGGAGATCATGGATATAGCACTGAGGGATTTGATGTATAGCACATGTGATGGGATAGTCATGAGAGGAGATCAGTCAGGAACATCAATCTCATTCTATCTGTTGGAGCAGCTGCTGAGTTACAGAGGATGGGTTGAGCGGTTGAACAAGCTGGAGACAAAAGGAGTGATGGCTATGGGAGGTTTAGTAACTCCAATCCTGGTAGCATGCGATGTCCCAATGCGCTCCCCAGCTACTCCGCATAGATGGGTTGACATCAAGAGTCTAATCGCGTCAAAGACTTTGGCCTCCAAGAGGACGAATGGGTTGTATAGGTACAAGTTTACTCACCCTCAAGCTGGGAAATCCATCTTTCTACTCCCTTGCCCATCTCTCACTTCTGTTGGCAACTTCGCGGAGTTCATTCCACCTTTGGAATCTTTGTATACTTCTGAGAATGAGGCTGTACCTATGGAGGGTGTAGAAGGAGAAGAAGCAGTAGCAGGGTCAGATGAGGCACAACCAATGGATGAATCAGGTGCATATGCGCCAGAGAGGTTCCACTTTCAGGACTACTCCGCGCCTAAGCAGAACAAGAGCCAGCAGGTAGCTCACAAGCATATCAGTCTCCTTCAGAAATGGAACAAGATGCAAGACAAGGTTATAGCGATGCAAGACAAGGTTATAGCGACGCTCGCCAAGCAGTTCCATGGTCTACAGAGTAGGTTTAGTTGTTCTACATCCAGCACCGCCATTCCTAGAGACATCTCACCTAGAGAAGCACCACTCCGGAGAAGTACTTCTACACGTCCAACTCCACTCCACAGAAGCGGTTCTAAACGCCCTACACCTGTGACTGACACTCCCTCTGCACCTGCAAGACACTCGGTCTACGAAACACGGGAACACCAAGCGCAGCCTTCTCCACCAAGACAGTCTTCTTATGAGTCGCGGGAAAGAAAGAAGAAGCGCAAGATCAAGCAGCGGTCTGCTGTCACTCGAGGAGAGCACTCGAACATACCACTCGAGCAGCAACCCGAGCAGACATTCGAGCACCATCCTGTGCAGCAGCCAGAGCACATTCCTGAGCAGCAACCCGAGTCCACTGTTCCGAGCTCATCCCAGCCAGTACCTTGGAGCTACACAAGTGAGAGCATGGATGACTACGTCTCCGCTTTCTTCACTTAGACCAGGTAACACCTCCACTTCACCATTGTTTATATCATCTTTCATTTTGTTTATCTATTGGTTTGCCCTGAGTACTCTCTTCCAAGCTTTTGTTACACAGAGGACTGTGTAATTTAAGTTTGGGGGAGGGCTCAGGGAGTATTTGACATTGTGTTTTCTGTTCTTATTTCAAATTTTGCATCATATAATCTGCATTGCATCTAAGGCATAGAAAAAACCAAAAAATTTGAAAAATTTCTGAAAATGATTTCACAAAAAAAGAGTGTTCATGTAGTTTGCATTGTCATGTAGGATTGTTTCGTATGCAATCACTTAGGGCTGTTGCATCATGCATTTGCATTGGAGGCTATGATGATTATAACCTTGTAAATATGCTTATTCACTAAGTAGAACTCAGTGCCCAGGTTGTTAGTTCTCTAATGCATAATCGACTGAACTTGAAGTAAGACCGCACCATCTTTTGAATTCAACGCTTGACTTTCTTGTTTTTAGTCGAATCTCGCTTTGATCTGATGCCATTCCCTATCTATTTGAACTTGAATTTTGACTTATAATTATCATGCTGTGCATTGTGCTATGAACTCATGGATACCTTAAAATACTTGGACTTTCTTTTACCTTTTGATCACTCTTGCTAGTCCAAGTAGCTGACTCCCATCTTTGGAGCAGTTATTCCCCACCCTTAGCCTAAACCTTCTTTCAAGCCATTTATCATTTGTGTGTGAATGTGAGGCCTTATTCCGATTGAGCTTGGTAGAAAGTGTTAGGTCTGTAACGACAAGGATAGTATCTCATGTAGTTCTGGTTCACGCTATCTGGACCAGATAGGACTAGGTGGGTGCTTAATTCTGGGTTTGGGTTGTGTTTAAAAGAAAGAAAAGGTTGTGTTCATCATTGAAAGAAAAGAAAAAGGGAAATGAGTCCTTAGGAGAAGTAGCTAAAGTAAGAAAAGTCTAGTAAAGGATTTGGGTGTGCTAAAGTAAAGAAAAGGGGTTCTGTAAATAGCTTAAAGAGAATGGGCAAAAGCCTTGTGTTTATGAGAAGAAAGAAAAGGGAACCCTAGTTGTTAAAGAATCCTAATCCGCTAGACAGAGCAAAGTAAGAAAGCTTCTCCTAGGATAGAAAAGCAAAGAAAAGAAAGGAATGATGTGAGTAAAAGTCTGTAAATGCTTTGAGTGCAAAAGGGTAGAGTTAGGTTCATGTTCTGGGATTAGAAATAGGACCTCCATTTGAGTTGATATTGATTACATTCTGGGTAGATGGGGTCTTATCCTTGTATGCATAACTTGATACTCACCTTTAGCATTCTACTAAAGCTCAATCATTCTTGAGAGATCCCCTGTTGCGATTTAAACCAGATCTTTAAGGGACCATCTTTGTCTCTAAGCCTCTACCCTTAAGCCAAATGTGTTCATATCCAATGCATAGTATGATTCACGGTTCCTACTTAATCAATGTTAAAGGGAATGTGCTGATTTGAATGCTTGAATTGATTAAGGCAGAGGTTAGGTTGAGATGTGAAGGAGATGGCTAATGTTTTTAAGTAGAGATCAGTCAACCTTGCATTCTAGAATTAGCAACCTGGACATTGAATTCACTTACTCTGTATGCATGTTTTGGTTCTGAGTCTCCATTTTCAAACCTCTCCTCCAGCTTGATCTTTACTGTTTGCTTGAGGGCAAGCAAAGGATAAGTTTGGGGGAGTTGATATGTCTATATTTCACTAGTTTTTACCATGTATTTACATCTCATTTAGTCTAGTTTCATCCTTGTTTCATGTCTTTAACACTTAGTTTGCATCACTTATCTCAGTTTGAGCATTTAGGATCGTTCTACATATCTATTGCATACATTCTTGCATTTTGGAGTTGTATCAGGTGTTTTTAGGTACTAAAGAGCTGCGGAGGAAGATGTACTCGAGTTCATGCTCGAACAGCACCTGAGATCCTTGTCAGAGCAGAAGCGTTAAAGCACAAGTCTTCAGCGTTTAACCAGACCACTCAACCAAGGCACTCGGACTGCATACTCGAGTATACTCAAGACAACCACTCGAGCAGATATGTGAAGAGAAGATCAACCACTCGAGCAGCTGCAAGTACTCGACCACATACTACTCGAGTAGGTACTCGAGTACCTACTCGAGTTCACCTGAGAGCTTCACTCCAGCAAGATGCAACCTTTGAAGAGAAGTCTACTCGACCAATACTACTCGAGTACCAACTCGAGTGGACCTTAAACCGACTTTCTATTTTGTCATTTTGTGTACTAGGGTTTTCTACTTTGACTATAAATAGACCTCTTAGGGCTTTGCCCAAAGGATCTCGTTTTTAGCCTCTGAGCAATATTTTCTGCAAACTTTTGTAATCCAAATTACTTTTGATCCTTTGAGTTTTTGCAATTACTTTCCTTCTGCAAAGTTGTTTATCTTGCTTTGATCTATAACATACTTGCAGTTTTTAATGATTTCTGGGTTTGAAACGTTTTCTGGGTTTTTGTTCATGATGTTCAGTGTTCTTGAGTAGTGGATTAGGGTTCTTGAGGATGGGTTAGATTAGGTGTGGAATCCTTAGTATATTTAGGTGGTTAAGTGTAGAATTGCTTGATTTCCCTTCTGGTTTAGTAGATCTTAATGCTATTTCTTCTCTGATCAATTGGAAGTAGATCTCAGACATTTCCACACCCACAAGGTGTTCGATGAAATGTCTGAACCAACTACTCCAGAGATTTACATACTCTAGCCCAAGAGATTGGATGTTTAGAATGTTTATTGACTATATTAGATTGAATCTTAATGCCTGCTAGGTTATATTCATCAATGAGAGTTGAGTTTGAAAGTGACTTAGCCTGAGGATCTCTGTCACGAGAGTGGATTGATCTGTAGTTGAATCTATTGTCTAGGGATAGCCTGTTTGATTGTTAACC